TAAAGCAAATAAATTCTCTATAGTGTTTTTGTGAACGACCTGGGCAGAGGACTTGAATGTATACAAAGTTTGTGGATGACACTAAATTGAGAGATGTTGACTCCCTTGAGGAGAGATCATGACAAATCAGAAGGCTGGGGGATTACCAACCACTTGAAGTTTAACAGGAAAAAGTGATGGATTCTGCAGTTCCCTATCTGTGTACAAACTGGGGCCAAGAGGCTGAAGCCCTGAAGAAAGGGGTCAAAGGGCTCTAGCTGATGGCAAGCTGAATACGAGCCAGCAGTGTGGCTTGCAGCCAGAAGAGCCAACTACAGGATACTGGGCTGCATCAGGCCCAGCACTACCAGCTGGGTGGTGAAGGGGCTGTCCTGCTCTGCTGTGCTGCAGCCTCACCTCGAGCACTGAGTACAGATTTGGATGCTACAAAATGAGAATATAGATGTAAAACTATTAGAGAGTGACCAAAGGAGAGCTATGAAGACGGGGAATGATCTGAAGGGCAAGATGTGCGAGGAGCGGATGAGGTCCCTTGGCTCGTTCAGCCCAGAGCAGGGATGAAGGGAGGCCTGATGGCGGCTGCAGCTCCTCACAGGGAGCGGAGGGGCAGCGCTGAGCTCTGGTCTCTGTGACAGTGACAGTGACAGGGCCCGAGGGAACGGTGTGGAGCTGTCAGGAGGGGAGGGCAGCTGGGGGTTAGGGAAAGGGGCTGCATCACAGGGCGGTGGGCATGGAATGGGATGCCTAGGGCTGTAGGCACAGCCCGAGTTGCTGAAATTCAAGGAGTGTTTGAACACTGCTCCCAGATGTAGGGTTTGATTTTGATGGTCCTGTATGGAGTCAGGAGTTGGACTTGATAGCCCTTGTGAGTCCCTTCCAACCTAGGATATTCTGTGATTCTATGATTAATGAATAAGCTGCATAATGTATTATGGAACTAAACTCTGTATGGCATTTATACCATAATATGCATTTGCTTTTTTAACAAGACTTCACCTAATGCCTCTTCATATGTACATTTATAGGCAAAAAAAAAAAAAAAAAGATCTATAAAATCATATTTGTTTTTATGTACTGTTCTGAAAAGTGCAGTAAAATTTGGACATAAAAAGATCCTTGGATAGTCTACAGCATAAGGAAGTGTAGTCAAAGTATTTACAGATGTTAGTGGAAGAGAAAAATAACAAAAAAAAAATAAAAAATGGAGAGAATCTGAGTAGGAAACAATAATCAGTTTATACTTACAGTAAGAGAAATGTCTGTAGTTGTAGAAATGGGATAAATTTTAAAAGAGATGGTATCCCAGTAGCCCTGGTACCTCATAATTCAAGCTAATGTTTTATGTCACAAAGACGAGTGAAACAATTTCTGCTAGTAGAAGGGAACAAGTGGTACGAAAGGCATTGATAGGAAAAGCAGAATGACCGAGACCAGGTAACAGGTTTTTGCAGATACCGTTGTGGAAATACACATCTTCTGCATAAACTCTTTCCTAAAAGGAGTTACTGAACAGACTGCTTGTTGAGGTTTATAATCTGCATCCTTAGGAAGAAATTCTTGCGCTGCAGTACATTGTCTAATCCTTTCCTGCAAAGTATAGGCCATGAAAACATAGCACACAACAGGAGAGCTAGTAAAGTTTACATGGTAGATTCTGGAGCCTGTTTGGTCTCTGCCTTGTTCTTCTTCAAAACTTTGCCTGTAGCAACTTGTGAGGTTGTGCCTGCCCCCACCTCCTCCTTCAGCCTGGCTGTTATGCCAAAGGCCTTGCTCAGAACTGATAACACTGTCATGCTAAATCCTCTGTCAGCAACCTTACCTCATAAATAGTGAGCAGCCCAAGAGTTCCCTGAGATGTAATCCCCATAACAAGACTGCATGTGGCTTCTCCAATTCCTCCTAAATACTGAGAAGCTTGAATGACTACACTCTTGGGGCAGATTATATGGAATAATTATTGGAAGTTATTTATTGGGACATTCTCCTCTTAAAAGAAGAAAAGCATTGAAGAAACCTTCAGGGTGGAATGCAGTGAATATTCAAGGACACTGTTCTATGATAGCTCCCTAAATAGCATGAGACCTGCTAGACCTCCTAGATTAGGAGCACCAAGGGAGCTTGGTATGCTGACTCTTGAGCCACTCAAGTTTCACCTGAGAATAAGAAAATAGTATAAAAATTAATCATAAAATCATAGAATAGCCTGGGTTGAAAAGGACCACAATGATCATCCAGTTTCAACCACCCTGCTATGTGCATGGTCACCAACCACCAGACCAGGCTGCCCAGAACCACATCCAGCCTGGCCTTGAATGCCTCCAGGGATGGGGCATCCATAATCTCCTTGGGCAACCTGTTCCAGTGTGTCACCACGCTCTGAGTGAAAAATGAACTCAAAAAATGGCTTAAGAAAGGAAGAATTCTGAGGGAAGATACTATCTCAGACAAGTTGGGAGGACATTGCTGACTTCTGTAAGAAGTTGATGGGCTGAACTTCTCTTCCCAAGCATAGGGATGCCTGTTGGATGAGATTTACACCCAGTTATACCAAGTGCTTCCCTCACAAAACTCTCCATAGAGATTCCATAGAGATCTCCATAGAGATTCATCAGCAATTCAAAAGAATCTGTAATATGCTGCTCCAAAAAAGAGCAATGTTCTGTACACTAGTCATAAGAGTTCTTCTCATTGGGCATAGTAAAACACCCTGAAGTTGGTCATACAAGTCCATTTGAAAGCAAACAGACCTACAGCATCAAACTGGTATTTATCCCTTTAACACAATGCAACTAAATCACTGTTTTTATTTATTTCCTTTGCTTCTTTGAATATCCAAAGAATGATGCTGTTTCTGGTGAGGCTGAGAACTTACAGGTAAAATGAGCACAAAATTATGTGGAGACAGGAAAAGAACAAAGTTTTAACTTTAGAAGAGGAATTAGAAGAAATTGAGAAGTGCAGTTACCATCACATCTCACAGACCGCTGCTAAGACAGGTCTTTCATTTAGCTGCTCACATCAGAGTATATTCAAGCTTGGACAGCATAATAGAAGTTTAGATTTACAACTTCCAAACTTGATCATACTACTCTAATATATTCTTCCTCAGGTCAAACCACAGATCATGCACATCTTTTAAAGATTTCATTCTTTAAGTCTTAAGATAATATTCAACTTGCTTCTTCTCTCCTTCCAAGGCACATCCAAATCAAGCAAGTGCCTGAGCTGTTTGCAGAGGCTTCTGGCAGTCTACAGGCAGGAGACAGTAAGGGAGCTGCTGCTAGGACATGCATTGCAGTATGAGCAGGGTAAATACGAGTGTTACTGAAAAAAGTTGGTGTCAAATTCTGATTTCAGGTTGAATGTTTGGAAAAAAAACATTCTCAGAAGGAGCAGTGGTGCAATGGCACGGGCTGCCCAGGGAGGTGGTGGAGTCACCATCCCTGGAGGTGTTCAAGAACCATGTGGATGTGGCACTGAAGGATGTGGTTAGTGAGCATGGTGGGAGTGGGTTGACAATTGTCTAGATTATCTTAATAGTCTTCTCCAACCTTAATGACTCGATGAGATTATGCATATTACTCATGCAATCAGATAAGCAGCCCTAGTACTCATTTTTCATTTTATTTTACAAATGTGTTGATTTTAAGCGTGAAATAGTAAAGACTGTGATCTTTTAATTAAAGTTACAGGCACAGTAAAGCTGGTAATCTCAAATAATTGAACTTGTTTTCACAAGGTGTCAAATAAAAAAATTAGTCAGGCTGAAAAAAAATGGCGTGGTATTTATACATCTGGAAAATTTATTAGCCATGTAATGACTGGCACTGGAGATCCCTGCCACAAGGATAGGGCCAACTGAAAACCAGGAGGAACTGGGGGGGAGCTCCAGTGTGAAGTGCAAGTATTCTCATCACAACTATCTCATTACCACAAATAGGTGACTGCTCCTGTCTCATCTGATGATGGCAACACTGGTAAGGACTAATTTAGATAAAGGAAAATAAAATGGGCCCGATTTGATGTGGTTATTTCAGAGAGGTAAAGTAGGCTTTCTCTGCAAGCTATGCAATTGTTTTAAAAAATAAAGTTTTGGTACAAAAGAGTTAAATAGAGAATTGCACATTGCTGTGAGGAGTACTAAAATTCTTGCTCTTTTTATCAAGGGGAGCAAGTCAGCAGGTGATGAGGTGATGATTAGGAACGGTTATAAACAAACACTCTGTTAAAGGACATCTTTAGAGCACGTTAATAATTTCCTACGGGTATCCACATAGCACTGCTGAATTACATGTGCACTTGTTCAGTCTTATCCTCTAGGCTAGAAGTCCCAAAATGAAGAAGGTAAGAGCAACACAGTGCTGACTCCATAGGTGTTTTGACTGGAAAAGCCACTTCTTGCTACTCACGTCCTCCAGCCTGCAGTCCTCCAGGGACTCCAGTGCTCCTCCTCCAAAACTCACCTATTTTATAGGAGTTTATCCTTAATTTTAAGACACTAGTTTTATGACTATAATTAAACTGCTTATTGCCTCAGGTTAAATCTGTCAAGGAGGAAAAATATTCCCATCAGTTCATGACGGTGATTCACTAATGAGGTGATTTTGTACTTTTCCAGCCGGCAGAGTCCCACAGATGCTGGAAGAGGAATTCATGGGCTGACGCAAAATGGATCCTAGCGGGCATGGTGGAGCTCGGTTGAGGGTTGGACTGGATGGTCTTAGCAGCCTTTTCCAACCTCTATGATGCTGAAAGCCAGCTGCAAGAATGCATACCTCTCCACAACCACCACCACACGTGCCATTATTTAAGCCCTGCAGCTCATTTCACCCAAGAAACAGGGCTTGTTTGGGGGGATGCCTCAGTGGGGATACCGTCCGGAACCGGCAGCCGCCAGGCCGCCCTCTGTCCCGCGGCGGCGAGGAGCGGTGTGGGCACCGCCCTAATCCGAACGGCCCCGGCGGGCCGTCCTCCTCCCGACGCTCCCCCCGCGGAGGCACGGCTCCCCGGCCTGATAGGGCGGAATGGCCGGGGAGCCGCCCTCGAGCCGGCCGGGCGGGGTGGCTGTCGGTGTTCCCTTGGAGGGGGGGAACGCGGAGCTTAGCGGGCAACAGCCATGCAGCGCAGCGGGCTTCTCCTGGCGGCGCTCCTCGCCCTCCTGGCCCCCGTCAGAGGTGAGGAGGGGCGACGCGAGCGGCCGCGCGAGATCCCCCCCACCCCAGCCGGGCTCGGCGTCCCGGGGCGAGGGGCTCCCCGGCGACCGCGGAACGGGGGGCGGCGGGACGGAGGGAGAGCGGGCACCTCCTTTTCTTTCCTTTTATAGTTTCAACTAAGTGAAAAACTATCCCTGAACTTTCTGTACGGCTCTCCTGCACGCAGTCCTGCCGCGAGCGCTGCGTGCGGAGCCCGCTGCCTCAGCACGGGGCTCTGCCTGCCGGGCCGGGCGGTGCCCGACTGCCCGCTGCGGCGCCGCTTCCATTTTAGGAAAGCGAGCGGGGTTACGGGGATTTCGGGCAGCGGGGGCTTACTGATAGAAATCTTCCTTCTGACGCGTTAATAAGCTGATTCGAAGTTATGCTTTAGCGTTTCGTCTTTTTTCCAAGTTCTTTGTGAACTGCTTGGAAACCTGCATCTCTTTGCTGTGGGATGGAAGGAAGGATGCCGGCCCCCAGCCTTAGCTGTGAGCTGTAGGCACGGCAGGATGCGAGGAGCGATTTGGCTTTAAGCCTCTTTGAATTGAGTTCTGCTGTTACGGCCACATTGCGGTCTGAACTGCTGGATTAGCAAATCTGGACTGTGGAAAAACAGTACAATTGTGTATTAACTGACTCTAAAACTTGGGTTATTTATGCTGCTGATGTTGAAATTCCGTCTTACTACTTACTTGGAAAATCTGCTCTTCTGCAAATAGTCCTCACAGCCTTGGACTACAAGATCTTTTTGTGTGATGCCCTTAAGGTGCAGAAGTATTTGGAGTCACTCAGAAACAGCGTTTCTGAAGGCGCTGCCTGGAAATGTGGTACAAAAAGCACCTTTGGGGATTCGGTTTGGAGTGCTGAAGAAATTGATATTACATTTTTAACAGACTGCTTTTAAAACTTGGGTTAGTTTATCGGAGTACTGGTCTATGCTGATAATATAAACCAAATAATTAGGTAGTAGTGAGTTTGGGAACTCTTTCTTAAAGAAAACGCCTATGAATGCTTAAGAATCCTGGAGAATGTTAGTTTGGGGAGGGTGGAGCTGCTCGGAGGAATTTCAGATCACTGATGGTGCAATCTTAGATTAAAATAACTGTGAAGTCTGGATTGTATCCTTTTGAAAATCTGAATTTCACTGTTGGTAGGCTGTCTGTAGTCTAAATTCACAGAACTGCCATAACAAGTTAAGGATCTTACGCTATGAGCAGTTCAGCTCTTGTGCAGCTTTGGACGTGAGTTTCCCTTGGACTGTTGGCTTCCATAACTCAGGCACACAAGCCTATGGCCTTGGGAGTGAGAACTTATATTGAGTCATGCATTTTAGGCACATGAAAGCCATCGGGGTTAAAACAATATTCAATTTTTCATGAGTATTTGTGTGTGTTATTAAACTGTGGTGAACTTTGAACTCTCGTGTAGAAGAGCTTGCAGTTTTAACTTCACAGCCCTTTTTTTTGTTTGTTTGTTTGTTTTTCCAAGCACAAGCTCTGCAAATCCAGCAGAGCTAGAATTTAACTATCACTGAGGCTGAATGCAGAGGAAGGTTGAATAGGAGTTTTTATGCCATCACTTTATATCATCTTACAAGGACAGGCTGAGAGAACTGGGGGCTGTTCAGCCCACAGAAGAAAAGGCTCTGAGGTGATCTGATAGCTGCCTTTCAATATCTAACGGGGAGCTATAAGAAAAGGAGAGACTTTAGCAGGGTCTGCTGTGATGAGACAAATGTAAATGGTTTCTAACTAAAGGAGGGGAAATTTAGATTGGATATAAGGAAGGAGTTTTTTACAGTAGGGCTAGTGAGGCATTGGAACAGATCGCCCAGAGAAGTGGTGAATGCCCCATTCCTGGAAACATTCAAGGTCAGACTGTATAGGGCCCTGAGCAACCTGATGTACCTGTAGGTGTCTCTGTTCATTGCTGGGGGTTTGGACTAGATGGCCTTTAGATTTCCTTTCCAACTGAAACAATTCTGTGATTCTATATGGCCAGTCTAACAGTTTGCATCTGCTGAGAAGTGGGATCCTCCCATTTCCCTCCATCTGCATTTGATCTAGTGCTCATCTGAACAGTACTGAGATGATTCAGCCTGATGAGTCAGCAAAGGGCTAATCCCATGCTTTGAGCCTGTTCTGCACAGGGTTTGAGAGGAGTTGGAGCCAGCACAAAGGAGTGGCAGGGCTGAGTGTTAAAGAGTGGAAATGGGATGGGAGGAGGGGAGCAGATCAGGAAAGAGACTTCCTGCTTTGGCTGGTTGTGATTTATAAGATAGACTCTGCCATTTTAACTCTGCAAAACCACCGGATGAGCCTGGCATCTAATTTTAGGTATCTGCTTCTCAAACTGCACTGATGAGAAGTATTAGGTAACAGGTTTTCTGTACAATTCATGTAAAGAGCACAGGAGAATAAAATCCTTGCATGATGAGCAGTAGAAAATTGCTAGATCTTGCAAACAGGCAGAAGATTCAGTTTTCTTCCTTCTTTCTTCTGTACTGCTGAAGGACCAAAAGATGTTTGCTCAGTGAGGACTTAAGACTCAAGGTTATAAGCTTGAAGTATGATTCCTCACAAGAATTGAGTAGAGCTTGATGACTGAAATACCATTGCTGCCAGAAGTGGTTGTGGCAGTGAACACTGGGTGGTAAGGAAAATGCTGGGTGCCTTCATATCTCTGTTACAAAATCAGTAGCCTCAGGTGTATTACAGAATGAGATCCCTTCTTCCTAAGGCTGCTGTAATTACAGGGCTATGAGTGGAAGGAAGGAACCGTGTCCTCTGGATTTTGTTGAGGCAAGTCAGCATTGGGAAACATGGTTAGTTTGATGACAGTGTTAAGTGAGTAATCTTGTGAATAGAGCTTTCATCTGGAGCAGGAACATGGCATAGGAACTGCTGAAGTCTGATATCTGCTTTGCGGGCTGTACAGCTTCGTGCCTTTTACATCTAAGTAAAGGAATGAATAAACTTTCAGTTAAGCATTACTAGTAGGGCTGTTAGCATGCATACATGGCAGCATGAACTTGGAAAGTGCAGAAAATACTGTTCTATATTTCTGTTTCCTCTAATCTGAGATGGCTAAGAGCTTATAATCTGTTATTATTTATATAAAATGGCCACTGCACTGCTACAGCAAAATGACATCATTGCAACGATCCTTAGTCTTTCTGCAGTTACAGTGATTTAACTTGGCCAGAGTTAAATGTGACTCAGCCTGCTGCTGTCCAGCCAAGACCAAGTTCAGTATCTTCTGATGTTACTCTGGTGTGTGTGTGTGTGTGTAATGAAGTTCACTGCACTTGAAAAAGAAAGAGCTAAAGCAGTACCCTGTCTTGAACCTCTCAATGCTATGAAGTTGTATTTCATCAAGCGACAGCTGTGTTAGTGCAATGCTGTAATAATAGTAATCTTCATCAGTTAGTATCAACTTGACAGGGGCAAGCTTCTTTCTTTTAGTCAGACTGCTTTTCCAAGTTCTGGCACAGGAGCCTACACTTTCGAGTATAGTATAAGTGCTTTGAGAGAATGTCATAACCAAAGCAGTCTTGACTTGCTGTCAGTTAACATGAACTGAACTGTGGCTTTGGGTGTTGAGAAAAAGAATCAATCAAAGACTTAAGCAGTTTCTCTTTCTAAGCTTCAGCTTTAAGCATAACACCTCTCCTCCCTGCCTTCCTACTCTAATTTCCTGTTTTTTTGATGGCTGTACTCACTCCATCCCTGTTCCTTCAGTGAGGTGACAGGCATAGCAGAAAGGCCATATGTCTAATGATTTCTTTCCGCTGCTGCTTGCTGGTTTGCCTCTGCTCCTCTGTCCCATTGTGGGTTGCCCACAGTCCCTCAGGCTGTCCCTGCCCTGGTGAGAGGGGCCCATGGCTGCAGATCTTCAGGGACATGCCCCTTCTACGTGGTGCCCCTCCTGCCCAGAGTACATCTCCACTTGCCATCCTTTCGGCAGTCTCTCTGTATGCCTTTTGGAGCCTCTCCTTATGTCTAGGAGTGGTTCAGGGCCTTCTCCCACGCAGGGCACCCTGCAGCCCTCTGCACTGAAACCCTGCCCAGGTTGTGCCCAGAACATTTTTAAGAAACAGGTATTGAAGAACTGTTGGGATGTGCATCTTGTTCTAAATTCTACTTTTAACGTCATCACAACCTTAATAGACATTTGTCACAAACTCTGGCCAGAACTTTGTCATGTGGATGAATTTGGTGGATATGATTTTTATGCAGGGCTGCTATGATAATATCCTGCCTTTATCTTATCTAGCGCTGCAGCTTCCTAGCTTTGCGGTCCTCTTTCCTTGGAGCACAGTTTTAAACAAGCCATTGTATCATTTGCCTCACTGGATGCCAGGGGATTACAGGGAATATGATAAACCCACTCTGCTCCACAGTCTTTCTCTCCTTTTTGGACCACTGCTTTTTTTTTTTTTTTTTTTTTTCCAAATGACTGCTGGTATCTGATTCCAGCCTAGGCTGCATTCCGTGGTACCAGCAAGTATGTGTGTTTATTTTTTCTAGCATACTGCCTACATTTTACTTTCTGAGTGGAAAAACCTCAAGCAACTCATTGCTAGCTTTGCTACAGTGGGAACACAGTACCTGCTGATGTTTGAAATGTAGATGCACACATCCACAGCATGTGTTGAAGTAGCTGTTTCTCTGTGTGGCTATTATATTGCTTTCCATTCTGCTGCTGCTGAGTTTGGTTGCTGAGCCCCCTAGCCCTGCTGGGAGCATACAGCCAGCCCAGGAGCACCCTGCCACAAAGGAGGAGTACCATGGCCACTGCAGCTCCTTCCTGATGTTCCTGGTTCTTGCACAGTGCTGGCCCACTTCTTAGCATTCTCCTTCTGGCTGGCAGGGGTTCTCACGGGTCCCCCATGATTCTGCATTTCCCACCAGTTAAAATATCATTGAAATCTTCACCATATGCTATGGGCATTGCACTTCTATTTTAAACATCACCACCAA